TGCTGAGGTCTCCCCCCCCTTTCTCCCCCCAAACGGGTCTGCTCAGGCCTGAGGCCGGTCCCGCCCTCCGGCCCGCACTGCGGATAAAGCGGGCACCCGCATTTCCCCGACGGCTCCTCCTCCTCCACCCCTTACCCCCTTCTTTACCAGGGTCAGCCCTGCGCCAGCCTACTCGGGCCTGGATTCTCTTCTGGCCGGGCTGGGGGGGAAATGATCCCGCCTGCAGCGGGGCCCGGCCTGGCCTTTGGACTCTTCCGAAGCCGCCCGCCGGTTTCAAGAATATGCGGATGGCCTTGAGCTCTCTCCCCAAGAGCGGGAAAAGAAGGGCATCCCTGCCGTCAGCCAGCCAACCCAGCCAGGCGCAGATTTGTGCGCATTTGAACACACGGATGTCTGGCCCAACGATCAGCCTGGATCCTGAGCAAAAAAAAAGCTCCCATACTAGTAGTCTTGCTTAGGTTAAAAAAATAAAGCTGATAGGGGTTAGTTCAATTAAACAGTGTCAGGGCAAGTTTTGCCCTTTTGACATATTAAGATGGAAGAGAACAATCCATTCATATTACATATTAGAAAGTTCTGTTGAAGAAAACCTACAGAACTGTAAAAGAATAAAATCGCTCAATTCTTAGGAGGAAAAAAGGACTACCTTTTTCATTTCTAATCAGTATTAAGCAAATAAATCGGGACTAAAACGAAACCTTTAAAAAAAATAAACCCTGGGCAAGGGTTATTTAGCTAAAGTCAAAAAAAACTCTTCGTCCAAATTATGTAACAGTTATACTGCTTGTTAGGGGATGGCGTCTGTAAATTATTTCTGATTACTGTGCCGTAAACCCATTTGTAATGAAGCATTTTCTGCTCTAATATTGGGCCCAGCACTTTTTAGTGCAGTGTCGGATTTTGACAGTTATAGAAGGGAATTTCATGTAATCCTTGAAGGGCAATTAGAAGAACTTGATTTTATTTTATGGTTGCCTTTACTTGGATTTTGGAATTGGCATTTTTTGGGAAGGAGGATTGAAAATTCAAGCAACCTGACATACAGAACAGTTAGTAGATGCTGCACAACTCACATGCAGTTACTGTGGTCTAAAATATTCCCTGGTCAGTGTTTCCATTGCATTTCTTTGTGTTTCTTTCTTATGGGCATCCGGTGCCTGTGTTTGTCACTGGGCACCTCTGCAGTGCAGAATGTTCTAGGGTATGATTTCTCCCCCCCCCCCCCNCCCCCCCCCCCCCCGTTGCTGCATTGAAGCATGGCCAAGGCATACCCATCTGTATTTTATCTGTTCCTGAGTAATTTGGATCATTAAACCTTTGTCTATTTCCAAGTATTAATTAGGTAGAAAAGTCTATTTTACATTAAAATAATGTATAAAAACGCTATGGTATCTTTTCAGAGTGGCTTGAAATACATCATCTCTTTCACGTATAATCCAGTAGTATTGGTCATTATATGTGAATGTATGTATAGCTTAGCTAGGCTGGTTATGCAACAAAAATCAGGATTTTTTAAGCCATTCAGTGTAATTCTTTACATTTATATTCCAAAATAAATCCTGTTGAATGAATTGTGTTTACTCATAGATGAGTGGTTGTACAAGTGCGGTCCTTTTTAACAAAAACAGGATTATTATTTTTTACCCTTTCTGATTCTAACTTTATTAAGATTTTCACATTCCTTTTCATCATCATGCGGGTTGTTTATATTTTGAAAATTTGCCCCCCTTTTCAGTTTTAAATATTTACATTATGCTTATTTATCCATTCTGTCCATTTTTCCTATACTTTGTAAAGCTGTGTGAGAGGCTATTGGACAATACAGACTTTCACAAATGTTTCCCCTTTGGATGAATCACTCTACAATTCCATTCATCCCCACAAGCATGCACATCTGACAAGTTGTAATTTGCAATGTCCAGAGGTCGTTCCAATAGGACTTGCCATCTGGTTTTTTTAGGTCCAATTCTGCCCCATCAGCAGTGCTTATGGAGCTACTTTGCGTCATCCAGCCACTAAGCATCACCATTTGTGATGCTGCTCTGAAGGGGTTACATGTGACTGTACATGAATGGTGGAGCGTGATTCCCTGGGAATGTTATCTGCAAAAGGGTGGTGCTATTTCTTTCAAACTGGATCTAGTCATAGAAAGCTAATAATAGCACTGCTGGTAATGATGAATTTCTAGTTAGGACTTGCTATTCCTTGTGGGATCATCATAGCTGCTGTCATCAGCGTAAGCCATTAGGTATTGAACTGTGAGCATCATATTAGGATCCTAATGGGAAATAAAGTGTCTTTTCCTTGTGTATGCAATGATTGTCATCACATTATGCTGTGTAGTTGTGAATACAAGGACTGGAGGAATGTCATGAAAACAGAAGCTAATGTTTTATGCTTCTAATCATGTACAATAGCACGAATGTTTTCTTACATGTATGAGAGAATATGTGCCTGTTCATCTGCATATTGTTCAGCTCTCTCTTGCTATCCAGTTCCTTCCAGTATCTGTCTATTAGAATTACAGCCTAATTTGTAGGAACACATCTTAAATTTCTAAATATATTAGAAAAAACTGTCTTGCTTGCAAACCCAGAAAACTGGGCAAATTCTTAATGTCAATCTGTATCTGATTGGCAAAAATGGACTTTTCATATTTTCATTAACTAAATATATGTATATTAAAAAGAATACACAAAATTAAAAGAAAAAAGTGGGGAAAAAGATTAAAAACATACAAATGTACAAAATGCATATTTACAGACAGTGTTGACATTCCTTGTCCACATTCTTGTCTCTTCACAAAGGAAAAGGATTTTTTGAGCAATTTGATGAAATTTCTTGTTGTGTTCTTTAGACATTTTCTGAAGTCTTTTAATATTGATGTTATTATTAACCACATACATACATACATACATACATATATATACACACACATATACACATACACGCACACACACACATATATATATATACATATATATACACATATACACACACACATACACACACACACTAAATGTAGTTGGTCATGGAATGCTGAATTAGTTATTTGGTCTAAAAAAAAAGTATGATAATCATCCAATAATAATATTTTCCTCTTGACAGCGGGGAAACACACAGTCACAACACGTCACCTCTCTGCTTTAGTCACCCCAGCTGGGAAATCTTACGAATGTCAAGCGCAGCAGACAATCACCTTAAACTCCGGTGACCACCAAAAATCAGTTGTTCTCTTGCTGTCAGAGGTCCGCCTGCAGCCCTTTGACATCAGCTCTGATTTTGTTTTCAGTGAAGGTAAGGGACGCTGGGCAATTCATAGATGCAGTTTGGAAAGTTAATGGAGACTCTTGACTGAGAAAACAAGCAGTTTTTGTGGAAGGTTGGGGTGGATAAACAACAGTATTTTGTATCATAGATGAATACTTTCTTCAACGGGGAAGGCTCCTTTTAATTTAAAAAAATAAATTGTGTGTCTAGCGCACTCACTGGGAAATTTGGTGTAAGATTAGTGATTTCAGCAAGGCTTTGCCTTGAAAGAAAACATGGGGCAGAGGCTTGCAGCAGTTATAGGGAGCAGGGGGTGGTTGGGTGGGGAATGTGAGCGATATGAGCAGACACAAGGAAACATGGCACCGAATGATGACCAAGCTATCTCCAATGGCATTCCGCAATGCCTTCTTTCAAGGTTTGTTTTTTGGGATGTTTTGCGTACTGGTAGCGGGAGATTTTATCTCAGTAGGTATAGATTCATCATTATTCTGGCAAACCGTTTATGATCCTGAAGTGAAAATTTCCATTGTCTTTTTAATATAATGCATACTCTGTATATTCCTCTGGCTCAAAGATTTTTTGGCAAACCATAGAGGATTTATTAAATGTTTGTCGTGTGTGTGTGTGTGTGTGTGTATGTGTAAAACAGTGCATGGATGTTATAATCTGGTGGTGTACAAATAAGGATCAAGAATCTGAAGTTGTAAGAAAATCCCTGATAGATTTGGCTAAGCATCCAAAGAGTCAAGCATGCTTCTTGCTATTCTGAGTCCAAATGCACGAAGCTAACAATCCTGCCTGCTTTTGTTTTACTTCCGGTGATAGCTGTCCAGGGATACTTTCCTGTTGAATAGGAAGAGCCTGACCCTCTCTATAAAATAGACATTTTAAGAAGGAAGCAGATATTCTCTGTATTTCTAAAGAGCAGGATAGAATCAGTGGGGAGAAATGGCAGGAATGCAGATTTCAATGAAACCTTAGAATCCCTTCAATAGTGAAATGCTGAAGGAGATGGGGGATTTCTCTTGACAATTGAAGTGATAGGATCCTTCAGAACTATGATTCCACCAAGAGTAATAATAATTAGCCTATCTAATCTTCTGTCAAGGGATCTATACATTCCTAATCCTAAATAATGTATTGTATACAAAAACATACAGTTTGTATATTGTGAGTCTGTTGTGTATGCTTTTTAGTAGATAAGCAGAAGCATTGAGTAGGGATTTGCTCTCCCATTACATCTTTATACTATCCAGGGTTTATGAATCGTTAGTATTAGTAAAGTCTGATCAACTTGCTTGGTCTTTCCTCCTTTTCTTTTCTGATTTTCAAAATCATTCATTTGTGAGGTTTATGAAATTTCACATGTACAGTAGCTGCCCTGGTGGTTTTAATTTTTGTAATATTCTCTAGTATGAGTTTTGCATTTTTATTACTGGAATGCTAACACTACATTGTTGAGGGCACTGGAATTCCCATCGTAACCCCTTGATGACTATTCCAAAGGCAAAGTTGAGTTTCAAGAAAGGTAAACAGAGACATAGCAGTGGGAGTAGGGAAGGAATGAAAAGGGAATAGATCATATGAGTAAAATGGAAGGAAGCTGGTCATAAAGGAAGTAAAAAATCTGGAGCAGGAAAATGCAGATGGCTAGCGACAGAATGGCAAGTTAAAGCCATAGAGCTAGTTATCACTATGGTAAGGAGGCTAGTAACCATTTTGTAAATGCTCTCAGATTCAGGCTGCATGCCTTCTCAAAAAAAAAGAAAAAAAAAGAAAGACCTCTTCTCTTGCATCAAAAGAGTGTGTGAAGGAAAACAAGAATCTGACTGCTTTGATTTGCCAAGATAGCGATTCCTATATGAAAGCAAACTGCGCTTGCTGTAATTTCTGTTATTATTAAAACAGTTTTTCCACATTAACCTTGCTAATCTGAGTTTGAAGAAGTTAGTTCCTTGGATTTAATTGTCTTCAGTATTTATTGTTGCTAGAGAAATCAGAAATTTGGCACCATAATCAACTGTTTGATCAAAGGCTGCAAGTTGGTTATGCTATAATTGTTTCCCTGGTTAATAATTAATATCCATGATCATCCCCACCTTAGTCCATCTTTTCCCATTGTTCCAATATGTACCCATTTTATAGGACAGCTTGATGTTTCTTCAAATTATGGTGGTAGACTGCACTACTCTTGCATCAATTTATGATAAAGGTTTTTTAACAGGAAAAGTTGTGATTCTTTTGTGACTTTCCCTTTTTCCTTTCCTTTCCTTTCCTTTCCTTCCCTTCCCTTTCCGTGTGCAACATTGGCTTGTATAGTGGGATTGATTCCTAATTGAAATTTCCACATATGCTTTCATATCCCCTGGGCAAATTCTCTATTGCTTATTGATCCAACTCAAAAACATTATCATTATAGTTTTTACTTTAATACAAGAATAGCACCTAAGGATATCTAGCCTGGCTATGTTAGCTGACATGTCAAGTTATTCAGAAAGTGTATCCTTTTTTTTCTATTTTGTAATTCCAGAAATTCAAGGATGGTGTAGCATGTCTTCTTACATTAAAAAAAGTCTGGAAAAAAGAGTGTATTTTGGAAAGTTTTGAGGGATGTTTACTGTCTTAGTATTCTAATTTAAGTAAAGTATGCATTTTAAGCAGGTAGCTTTTGCAGGTTTGGTGGAAGATATTTTTATACCAAAGGTAAAGGACAATATGATATTTTTCTCTCTTTTTCTGAATCTTTCATCAATACTGCAACGGACCATAGTGGTATTTGAAGACAGCAGGTTATTTTAACAGCTTAGGTGGCACACAGTTCTGTGTTCTTTACCAGCAGTTTTTTAGTCTGTACTCCTGAGGCAACTGCCTTAAGTTGTCTGGTGGTAGGACTGGCCCTGAACTTTGGGCAAAAAAGCCTACTACTTCTAAAATTTCTTGATTGCTGGGCCACAACTGTCCACAAACACAACTTTGAGGGGGGGGGAAGTGTGGTTCTCTTTCTATTTAGCAATACAATCAGTGTTTGTGGACAGTTGTAGCCCAGCAATTTGACTGAATTCCAGGGCGGGATTTATCTGTACATCTTAATTTTATTTCTCAAAGTCAAACATTTTAAATGGCCCTAATCAAACCTCTCCTGCCAGGCTTTCTCCCAGTTGGCTATGTGAGAATTAACGAGCTGAATCAAAGTAGACAATAGGGGGGGGGAGGGGATTGCACCAGATCAGATTATAACTTTTACCACACAAAGTCAAAGAGGAGCATATAGGGTCCAGCAGATTAAAAGATAACAGGAGAGACTAGATATTGTCTGCAGATTGATAGTTTGTACTGTTTGTAGTAAACTGATACTGTTCCTCCAAATGGCTTTCCGACCTGAAGGTTTTTAAAACTGACTTTCTCAAGTGCTCTCCTCATGATGAGGGTTTTCTTCTAGTTTGTTTTCTTATTCTCAAGTACAGCCATGATTTTTTCTGTGAAGACGTTTGGTCATCAAATAGGTCTGTTTTCTCTGTTCCCTGCAGTCCCTCACACTGGCTGGTCGCATAGCTCCTATCATCTATCTATCTATCTATCTATCTATCTATCTATCTATCTATCTATCTATCTATCTATCTATCTATCTATCTATCTATCTATCCTAATATCTAATCTAATCGAATCTAATCTATCATCTATCTACCATATTTACGTATATAGCTGCCCATCTCATAAAATCTGATTTTGGGCTGCGTACAGCATAACAGTAAAAATTCCATAACAATCTAAAAACATCAAAATTAAATGAAATTGTTAAAACCCAAGACCATGGGAGAACTAACATCACTTAATCTCACACAATCACCTTGTAGACTCTCCCTGGGATCCCCGAGGCTGGTGAAACAAACAAACAAACTTGTTTTAAGTGCAGATTAACAGAGATGAGGCTAACCACACCTTGGGGTAAATGATATTCCAGAGGCTGGGGCCACAGCACAAAAAGCATGTCACCTGGGGTCTCACGAGATGCAGCTCCATGGAGATGGGATCCTCAGCATAACCCTCTTCCCTGACCTGGTGGGATGGATAAATTAATTGGGAAGGGGTGTTTCCCTCAAATAACCTATCCCCATGCCATATAGGTCAAAGGTCAAAACCAGCACCTTGAATTGCACCCAGAAGCAAACAAGCAACCAATGCAGCTCGCAGAACAAAGGACCAATGTGCATCCTCCTAGATGCACGCACAACTGTCCATGCAGCTGCATCCTGCATCAGCTGACACTTCCTTGAATGCTCTTCAAGGACAGCCCCATGCAGTTTTGGTAATTTTTGGAATGAGATGTAGCTTTCTGAGCAATTCAAGGGAAATGGATTCAAGGCACATTCTAGTACTTTAAAGTTCAAGAATCCGGTGTGGAGAAAGGGGATATGATAAGATGAGCTGAATCGTATCAAAGACAGCAGCTATGTGCTTTGCTGAGTTTAGGCATTTGCAAACCATCAGCAGGTTAAGGGATAAGAGAGATCGGTCAAAAAGACTCAGTCCCTTTTATTCTCATAGGGACATATTTATTTATAGATTATATTTATGTATAAATCACATTTATATGCCTGCTATCTCACAGATCTGTGACTCTGGATGGCGTATGATTAAAAATTAAAAAAAATCAATTAAAGCACAAAAGTTATTAACAACAAAGTAGCAGAGAGAGTTATTGTTACGGGCATTAATCTTCTTCCCTATCCATCAGAACTGCTTTATTGCTAAGGCTGTGCTAACAACACCCATCAGCAGCTGTCCTTGTACTGGTGGTCATTGGCACATGTGGTAATAAGCAGTGACCCATCGTCTCGAACAGTAGGAAAGGGGGTAGGGCAAGACTTGCATTGACTTAATGATTTGGTTGAAGAACACTGATTTGGGTTGCTTGCTTTGGGTCCCTGTCAGTCCTAAGACGACACAGTGAGATTCAACCAAATGCAGTTCCTTATTTGCTTACACCTAATAGACAAGAATCTGTCTAAAACTACAACCTTCTAATCTAATAGTTACTCTCTGAGAGATTCTAAAGCAGTGGTGGCGAACCTATGGCACGGGTGCCAGAGGCGGCACTCAGAGCCCTCTCTGTGGGCACGCGCACCATCGCCCCAGTCCTAGGCCTTCAGCTGGGTTTTATAAAACCTTTAAGCTTTAGGCCTCCGCCGCCGTGTGCAAAAAATATAAAAAGGTTCAATCAGTCAATTTCAACTTCTCACAGGAAAAAAAAAGATCTTGCAAAGTTGAAATTGATTGATTAAACTTTTTAGTCCCACCCAGTCTGCCATTACCACTGCAGTCACGTCCACCCAATGGGCCACACCCAGCCAATGGGCCACACCCACCCGGCACTCGACGATGCATAAGTGGGTTTTGGGTTGCAGTTTGGGCACTCAGTCTCTAAAAGGTTCGCCATCACTGTTCTAAAGTGTGGCCACTCAAAATGTTTTTCTCCCTCCCCCATCCAGTTTAGGACTGTGTAGTTCATTGTCTTGAGTCCCACTCAGGGATGCCTCCCCCCTGGGAAGCTGTGGGTGCGACTGCTGACATTTTCCTCCACTTCTTCTCCACCTGCACATTCTATCACACCCAATCAGTGTGCATCTCAGGACTTCCAAGGGCATAAGGGGCTTGTGTCCCATTAAAATTATGCTACTCCTTGGGTTTCATGCAGCTCAACTTTAATACAGTGGACTAAATTTCAGCTTAGGACTGAAATCTAGATTGAACTCCTACATAGCGAGGGACCCGAAGCCAATCCGTTTTCTACTATTCAGCTTAATTTACCTCTCAGAATAGTTGAGAGGGTACGTATTGTATGTTGGTGAGGCATCTGTATATTGTCATGAAGCCTTCTGAGGAAAATGAAAGTAATCCTTTGTTTTGCAGGAAAAATACTTGCATGCAGAATAACCCTTCTCTCTCCCCCTATTCTTCTCTTTTCTCTGTGCTGCAGAACATAAATGTCCAGTGGATCAAAGAGAACAATTAGAAGAAACGCTTCCTCTCATATTGGGCTTGATCTTGGGCTTGGTGATTGTGGTAACCCTTGGTGTTTATCACATCCATCTCAAAATGACAGCCAACCAAGTCCAAATTCCACGAGACAGATCCGAATATAAACATATGGGATAGCTGGCAAAGGAAAAGATCAGCTGAAGCAAAAGCACTTTTTTTCCTATAGGTCAGGGCCTCTTATATACAATGACAGACGGAGGGGGGGGGGATGGGAGGAGGGATACAATGGGAGGTTGGGGTGGGAAGGGAGGGGATGGAAGAACAGCCATTTCTCAATGCTTAAAACAGGGAAATAACTTTTTTGTCTTCTCTGGAGAACTGACCCAACAGGCAATGTTCCCTACATTGGCCAAGCATCGTTTCCATTCGTGTGGTGGTAGAGAGATGAGAATGGAAATGTATGTTTCGCTCTGAAAATGTATTTACCTCAGTGGTGAGGGGAATGACGACAATGACAGAAGAGCTTGTGGAACCTTCCATTTCCACATTTGCTGGACTGCAGTTCTCACCATTTCTACCTTTGCCTTGCTAGCCGCGGCTGATGAAGCTGGCATACAGTGACATTCTCCATCCATAATGTAAGCCCATAGCTTGGATCAAGGGGTCCAGGAACAAGAGTTCCTGTTATGGGTCTTCACAGCACACAGGAGAATTCTGGTATTTCTCTTTCCTTCTGCTACCTTTAGCATCCCTTGAAAATCTGCATGGAATATTTTGGGAACTTTGCACAATAGGATGGGAGCAGAAGTTCAGGGGAAAAGGGGAATTGACAAAAATTCCGCCTTCTTTTCCACACCTGGGGCCTTCCATCAGATTTCATCTATTCCTCCGCCAGCACTCCTTCGGTTTATGGAGTTGCTGTTAATCAATCCTGTGTTCCCAAAGTTCTAGGAATGGTAGGACTCTCTACTCAATCTCACATATTCCCAGAGGAATAATGCCACTTGAGTAAATTAAACAGCTCCCTCAGGACTTGCTCATAGGATCGTCATCTCGTTTCCACTTCATCTCATCTCAATTTAAATATATATTTCAAAACAAAAGCCAAGAATAAGGTTCTATGATTTTAGAGCTTGAAGAATTTTATTTTACATTTTTATTGCTTATTGAAATGCTTTGGCACCCAAACAGTTTTATGAACGTTGCTGCTCAAATCACAAGAGTGTTAAGCTCTGGTGTGAGAAATGCTTACGGGCTGTACACTTTGCATGTACTGTGACTGAAAAATGCCTACTGCAATGTAATGATTATATAAGAACACCAACAAGAAATGTTCATCTTACTATGCAGAAACCTTCAGGTGTTATAAATAACGGATGTGTAAATATATATATGGAAGCAAACAGCAAAAACCAATAAATCCTAAACTATGTTGCTTAATGTGGAGTATTTTTAATATGGAGCATTTAGACTAAGTATTTTATGGACACTCTTAGGCAAGGAAGAAAGAATGAGAGGCAATAAAATGCTAGAGGATTAAGGAAAAAGGTTTCTGTTATGAGAGATGCCTCCAGCTAAGTAAAGGATAGAGTTTTGGAAGGTCACAACCCTGATCACAGTCACAAACCTGATCACAATCACTGTTTTGTGGGATGATTCTTCAGAGAAAGAGGTTCAGTTTTATCCATGGCTTTCCACCCATCCATTGAATTCAACATCCCCTGACTAACGTGTGCAGATGTTTATTGGTGGCTCAGGGTGGTTTAACCTTGGGCCAGGGTGCTGATTCATGCGTTGCGCTAAGTCATAAACTGGTTTGTTTGGCCTGGATTTAACAATATATGGGGAATTAGCCAATTTTGCTTTATTCCACAGACAATTAAAACAAATCTGATTTAGTGCAATGCAAGCATCCAGGAGAATGTTTATGGTGCATAAATACAGGAGTCCAGTGGAATGCTTAAGGCTGACTGCATTTATTCCTTAATGGAAAGCTAATTACTACAACCTCTGAAGTTCTGGTTACCCTAGGATTGGTCAGACTTTAGGAAGGAGGATGCTCCCTATCTTTTCACTGCTTCCTCCAAGAGCCCAAGAATTATCAGTTTGCTAGAAAAGGTGAAACTGTAGCATGCTGAACATAAGAACTGGTTAGATGAATGGAGTTCACGGTTCTTAATTATATCATTCGTGTCAGCGTTACAGTTTAGGGAAGGTAGGAATAGGGCCCAGTTTGTTGGACTGTATTAAACAAGTGGGACTCAGTGTAACTAGAAATCCAGATCTGATGGCTGCCTTCTCTACTGAGGGGTTGGATATAATGGTATGCTGTCCAGAGTCACTCCTGGCGAGATGGGTGGCCATATAAATCAGAAAGTAGGTAAATAAATAAACGACACATAATTGCCGCAGTATACAGGTCAAATCAAACGATTATACTAATTTTTCTCTCCAAAGACCAAGGACAAAATACCCAAAGGATTTAAAACGGTTTCATGGAAACAATTTTTTTTATAAAACAATACAACAGTGTCATCTTCATCATTACACACAACACATACACGCTCGCACATAGACTATCCTGGATGGGACACTGCTTCATCAAACAGTTTCAAAGGAATCCTTTCCATGGGCTTTCAACAAAGAGGCTTTTCAAGCTTTGCAGAGAGAAAGTCAAGAGAGTCCTCCTTATAGATTTTTCACTCTGCAAAAAAAAAATATGATGTGGGTCCATGATTGCTTAAGAGTATGGATTTCTATACATGGATTATCCTGGCAGGATTTATAGTTGTAATTGTCAAAGCTATTTCATACGTTTTTCTCCTGCCATGATAAAGTTGATTTGTTCTTTCTGGTATCAGGTATCTGGAGTATATTTTCTTCCTTGAAGTAGCTCAGAGCAGTATTAAAAGGCCCAGCTCCACCTGCCCTAGGAAAACCCCTATTTGAAATCTTGGAAGGCAGTTACCAGACAGTAGTATGGCTCACCTTGATCCTCCTGATTTAAGACATAGAGCCTTAACACTTAGTTGGTTTAGTATTATGAGTGAATCTGCCACTGTAGTTTGTCCATCACTGTATCTGGCCTGTAAAGCTTTGAATGACCAGTAGATATCAGCCAAGTATTTTGTTTTCTTTAGGCCTTTGCTGCCATCTTGTGGACATTTTACCATTTGCATCCCAGTTAAGGTATCCATAAGCTTAGCATGTGGATGCATAATCCATGGCTCAAATACCCTATGTCGTGCTCAACCTGGGCACCAGAAGTCCAGAGCCCTTCTAGATTTCCAGCAAATATATGAAGAGAAAATTATACCAAATAACTGAGAAACAATTAACTGTATTTAACATTACATTAAATCACTTAGCATCTGATTTAAGTGCGTGTTGATTTTGGGCTGTGCCATCCCTAGTGAACCATTCAGAGTAAATGTAGTCTATAGCCTGAAAAAGGTGGTGTCCTAATACTAGATGTGAAAATGGGTATGGCTTGTTTAACAGACCATGGTCAGAAATTTTGACTTATCACAGTGTGCAAGCTGTCCATGTAAACAATCTGAATGATTAGTAAGATGCAATTTATTATGAATTTACAGCAAAGCATATATATATATATAAATCTTATTTCAACACTGGCAATGAGACATCATTACCTGCCATATTTGGGACATTAATCTGAGGAAAGTTGAGCAGTAGGTGGAGTGATGCATACACCTGTAACCTCCACCCCTTCACTATTGCTTCTAGCCAATCCCAGCATCATCTATATGGGGTTATCAATCCTGAATATAAATTATATTCACCAGAATAGAGTTTTGAGAATTACCCAAAATAAAGATGGGCAACATAAAATTCCAGGACCTTCTGTAGCACCTATTGTTTATGAAATCCTAGTATAACAACCAAAATTAGTTGGAAGTTGGGTAACCTGTACATTGTATGTATGTATAAATAAATAAATATGGATTAGCAATAGCACTTAGACTTATATACCACATCATCGTAATGCTTTACAGCTCTCTAAGCGTTTTACAAAGTCAGCATATTGCCCCCAACAATCTGGATCCTCATTTTACTGACCTCAGAAGGATGGAAGGCTGAGTCAACCTTGAGCCGGTCAGGATCGAACTGCTGGCAGCTGGCAGAATTAGCCTGCAATACTGCATTCTAACACTGCGCCATCATATATATTCACACCATTTTTAATGGGAAAGAAATGATACTTGTGTAAATCTTAAAATGGCTTCTCTCTTAAAACAGACCCCACCCTACCCGCAGAAGAGAACCCCAATCCTGTCTATTGTATCATGCAATACCGTTCACTTTTGCATTACAACTTTTGCCTCCACATCAAAAGATGACTCTGGCAAACAAAATGTTGTGTACCCCCCATCCTAGATGTACTAGTGCCTTAATTCTATGCATCTCTAATGAAAGAGCTTGGGGCCGAATGCACATTCAAAGAAAGGTGGTGCATCAATGTATATAATGTAATGTGGGGTTCCAACTTGAATTTTTTTAAAAAAGCTACATACAGAATGGAAAACAATATATCTTCTTCATTAACAACTCATTCACAAATCAGCAACTTTCTAACTTTTGGGTTGGCTTCTCTTTTATTACAATAGGTATCAACCAACTTACTGATAAAATGAAAGCCCCCCCACAATGCAAAATGCTGTGTCCAGAGACATTAGAGTTAGGATCAGACAATTTTCTTCAAGTGAAATTCAGGTGAAAATAACCCAAAAGAAAAAGCAAAATCGAAGTTAGAAAAGACATGGCTTTCAAGTTATACATAATGAATAAATAAATAATTCCCCCCCCCAACTGGCTGAAATAATTATGGAGCACTTAAAAAGGGCAAATCTCTCTAGGTCTATGGTAAACATGCAAACCTACCAAACAAGCAACATAAGATTAATTGTAGTTGCCATTGCTGAATTAACATTTCAAAGGGGTTTAGACAGCTTTTTCTCCTGTATGGCAAAACACATTAACCAAATTTTACAACACTTTGATTTAAACTCAGAAAACACCCACTTAGTGGTTGACTTCTAAAGCCTGAATAAAAATAATGAAGACAAACGGGAGGCATTGGAATTGGCACGGAGTCAAATGAGGCAATATCCATGTTGCTAGGACTAAGCAGAAATTCTCTTGCCCGCAGGTGCCCT